AACAAGCAGACAGACAGAGAAGTGGACACTGAGGTAAACAGACAACCTAACCTAGTCCGGACTACCTTCGCCCGTCTCCTCCTGACGCAGCCCTTGGCTACGAGGTCAGCATCGAGTCCAACGGGGCCAGAGACGTGCTCCGCCTGGCTCTAGCAGGCCGACCCACCCAGCGGGCGTGCCGCGCTACAGGTCTGTGCCGGCGTCCTGATTCGGGGTCCTGCAAGGGGACGCGCTATCCTTGCCATAACCGCCCAACACCGGACTAGTCGCGGGGTGATTTCACACTCCTCCCTCAGCTGAGTTCTTACTCGCGGTAGTCTGTGGGGCACCGGCAACATCCCGGACGCGCCCCCAAACACTCTCCTCAGGGACTGACTCCAGCCCACCGGCACAAGAAAACAGCAGCCAGACAGTTGAGGATGGGCAAATCAGCACAAGAGGACGGTTTTATTTCTTGGCTCCCGCGCGCGCAGCCTCAAGCAAGAGCCGCTGAGAGGACAACGCAGTGCCAATCTCTCGGCAGGCAAGGACGCCCGGACGCGACCAGAACAACGGCATGCCTTTATCCCCATCGGTGACACCTGGCACCCAAGCAGCGACTAACACATGGATCCCTCGCGTTTCGACCTCTAAATAAAGCTGGCTTTCCCACTATCGCGCCTTTGAAATAATTGGCCGGTCTGGTTTGCCTCTCAATTGCCTTGATGGGCGCCGCCAGTTTTGGCCCGTGCTTTTTTATGCCAAACATCATCAGCCATTATGTCCCGCTACTAGCACGCGCGTATCAGCAAGCAGCAATGACCAGAAGCAAGGTATTGCGGATTAGCTCATTGCCCCAACCCACAGTAACCATTTAACAACCCGACAACTCTCGCTGAAAATTCCTCTGCCAATCATGACGCTCATGTATCCCTACACCACTATTCTCATGCACCTACACACAGGAGCTTGCGGCCAAGTTGTGGCAGGGTCGGCCCCCACTCAGCCGCGCTTCTGTCGCCGCCTCTTGCTAATCCTTGGCATCTATCTGCTCCTGGCCTATCCCGGCTTCTTATGGCCTCGTGCCACCCTCACTTCATCTCTATCCGTCTTATTCCGTGGCTTTTTCTCCTCTCTCTGATCTATACAAAATCTGCCGCTCTGCGCTCTCTCAGTTTAGGCGACCACTGTGATTTGGCATTCTGGAGGCGCGCGACCCCCATACTTCGCCAGAATAAATACATATATACCATCAACTGCAAGACCTATTAAATACAGACCGGCCAGGGCGCGTGGCTTCAGCGCCTGTAATCGCACAGCATTGGGAGGCCTAGGACAGGAGCGGATTGCTGGACGGCTCCGGAAGTTCGACAAACCAGCCTGAGGCAGGAGCGAGACCCGCTCATAGCTGAATAAATCAACAGGGACCTCTAATTGGCCGGCAAAACATGAAAATATACGCACCATCAACCCTATCCGGAAAAAACTTAGCCGGGCATGGTGGCACATGCCCTGTTAGTCCCCAGCTATGTTTTTTTTTCTTCAGGAGGCTGAAGCAAGGCAGGCATCCGCTTGCGCCCAGGAGTTGTGAAGGCTTGCTGTGAGCTTAGGCCTGACGCCATGGCCACCTCCTGCTAGCCTGGCGACAAAAGGGAGACTCGCCTGCTCAACCAAAAAAAAAAAAAAAAAAGAGCCTTAATCACATCTGCAAAGACCCTTTTCCCATATAGGGTGACACAGATTCTGAAGATTAGGATCGGATATCCTAGGAGGCCATTGTTCACCCTGGTATCCAATGTAACCACCACCCAGATCAAGGTACAGAAAATCCTCATTCATCTCGGAAAGTTTCCCATACACGAGTAACTAACTGCTCTTCTGACTTCTAACACCATAAATGCAGTTGGCCCCTTTTTGAACTTCACGTAAAGGAATCACTCTATGTGTACGTCTCTGGATCATACTATGTGTATGTCTTTCAACATAATGTCTGTGAGATTCATTCATACTGTTGTATCAGTAGTCCTCTTTTTAAAAATTTCTAGGTAGTATTGCAGGATGTGACTATTGTCTTAGCCTGTGCTGCTATGATGGAATACCTGAGACTGGATAACTTATAAAGAATAGAAATGTATGTCTCAGCTCTGGAGGCTGGGAAGTCCAAGTACAGGGTGCTGCTGCATCGTCTCACGCCAGAAAATAGAAGGCAAGCGGGGATGAAGCTTGTGTCCTCCTATGGCAGAAGAGTAAAAAAAGGAGAGAACCCACTTTTGCAAGCCCTTTTTACAGCCAATTAATCCAGTTGTGAGGACAGAGGCCTCCTGATCTAAACACCTCCCATTAGCCCCCACCTCCCAACACCGTTACACTGGGGATTAAGTCTCCAATTCACAAATTTTGGGGGACACATTCAGAACACTCCAAATATACCAATATTTATTTATCTATTCTCCTGTTTCCAATTTGGAGCAATTAAACAAAACTGCTACGAACATTGCCGCTCATGTCATTTTGTCGTTCGGAAAAGTATTTTTTTTTTTTTTAATTATTCAAGTAGCTGCAAATAGAAACCTAGAAGGGAGCCTCAGACTGGGACACACAGTGTCTGTGCCCTCTCCCACAGAGCAGGGGAAGAAGGTGGCGCCCGCACCTCTGGGGTTGCCAAGAGCTTCCTCCCCTTCCTCCCCTCACTGTCTGCAGTGAGCCCCGGGGCAGGACCCACCTCCCTGGGACTGGGGTAGCCAGTAACCCAGACTGCTGCACCCCAGCCCCTTCCCCTCAAAGGGTGTCCTGGGGGATGGGGGCGTCAGCAGCACAGGGGAGGTGACGAGGACAGACGCGTGGTGGGGCAACAGCAGCAGCGGTGACCAATACGTAGGAATGAAACATTGAACAAAAAAACAACACAACTCTCTGGAGGTCGTTTATAAACAGAGGAGAAATGGAATCTTGGGGGGTTGGGGAAGAACAAAGAGAGGTAGGGGTGGGCAAGGCTAGCTCCTCCATTTTAGTGCCCCGTCAGTCTGAGGAAAAGGGAAACTGAGGCCTAGAGTGGCAGCAGATAGGGTTGGGTGGGTGGCCCCAGCCACAGAGAGCCTGCTCAGATTTTTAAAATCCAGTGTGACTATGATCGTCTCATAATTCTTTTTGTATCAGAGGTTTCTACCCAGAGGGAATCTTCAAATTGGATTTTTCCAACATTAACTCCCTTTGCAGCAAATTTGAAATAAAAAAATGTTAACTTGTGGTCATAGCAGCATGTCTCTTCTTGTCCTCTTTTCCCAACGGCTTTAAACACAACTACACTTTTGGGCAGAGCCACTTATAGGAGGAAATTGGGTTAAAAAAAGGTAAAAAAAAAAAAAAAAAAAAAAACTAAAATTATCAATAAAGAGGAGCATATGTTCTGGGCCACTTGGATATATGTTCCCAGGCCGCAAAAAATAAAAACATAAATAAAAGTAAATAAAGTTGGCCGGGTGTGGTGGCTCATGCCTGTCATCCTAGCACTCTGGGAGGCCGAAGCAAGAGGATCAACTGAGGCCAGGAGCTCAACATCAACCTGAGCAAGAACGAGATCCCGTCGCTACTAAAAATAGAAAGAAATTAGCCTAACAACTAAAAATATATAGAAAAAATTAGCCGGTCATGGTGGCACATGCCTGTAGTCCCAGCTACTCAGGAGGCTGAAGCAGGAGGCTGAGGCAGGAGGATTGCTTGAGCCCAGGAGTTTGAGGTTGCTGTGAGCTAGGCTGATGCCACGGCACTCTAGCCTGAGCAGCAGAGCGAGACTGTCTCAAAAAAAAAAAATTGTAAATAAATTTATCAATAAAGAAACTGTGTGTGTGTGGGGGGGGTGAAGATATCTGGTTAATATATCCACATCACTTTTTTCTTAACCTCTTCTGAAAGATCCCCAAGTTTCCTTTAACAGTTTCCTGGCATTCCTTAAGCACTGGCGACTAAAGAGAGCTGACCCCCACCCTCTCTGCGCCCCACAAGGCATGTAAAAAGGGGAAGGAAAACTCAAAACCCAAGTGTTCAGCAGCCTGTGCCAATTGCAGATCACAACCAGAGGTAAAGGACCCGAAACCCAGTGCGATTTGATTTACATAGTCTCATTTTGATCACATTTTCTCCAACGTCTTCCTCCCCACACACACACACCCAGGTGTCCCAAGCCCCTCCCCTCCAGCTGTCCCCTTCCCACCTAGGATCCCACCTGGGATCCCACTTGCCTCCCGTCAAAGTCCGATCCACCTTTCAAACACTCACTGAGAGCACAGACCGGTTACCACCGTCTGGACTACAGCCCAGCAGGAAGTGTCAGGAACTGTAAACCGCTCACACGTTCACACCCGCTGGGCTATCACAGGCAGAGCTGGAACCGGCCACCGGCCCTGAGCTCTTTGCACTGGGCCCAGATCCTCTCTCCGAGCTCGTGGGTCCGGGTCCCTATCCTAGAACCTTCTGGAAGTCATCCGGGGTGAGTCTGCCCAGCACCCACCCTTCTAGCCCAGTGAGAGCACAGGAAACATCCCAGGGCTGGCAGAGGGGGTCCCTTAAGCTCTCTCCCATCTGCTTTCTTTGTCATTCTAATGAACTGCTGGGGATACCCTTTGTTAACTGTAGAGAGTTATGCAAATAACCGAGGTTGGTATTGTTATTACTAAGAGGCGCTTGGTTTCAAAATCGCTTTGAATATTCTAGCACCAAATCTTCAGTGTTCAGAGCCTGGGGCCTCCAGACCATTTGTTTTTTTCCTCTGGTGTGAATTGCAGGGTGCTAGCCCAGCCTCGAAGGCCCCCCTGCTGGCTGAGGGGGTGGTTTGCCCGGCTCCTTGGGGTGTGCAAAGAGCTTGAACTTTGGATTCAGACCTGCAAAGGTTGGATCCTTCCCCTGCCTCCTGGTTATTGTTTGCCCTCGGCAAGTCACTTGGCTTCTTGGAGCCTCAGTTTTCTCATCCACGAAAGGGGCATGAATACCCTTGTCGACCCAGATAAAAGACTGAGGCAAAAATCTCAATCAATGGAGGTTTATTAAGCCAAGATTTTGAGGACGTGCCCAGGAAAAACACAAACTGCAGACAAGCCACGGCTGATTTTCCAAAGGGGAAGTTGGAATCTTCGGCATTTTAAAGGCATATGGAAAGAAGGAAAAAGGGGGGGGGGGGAAAGGAAGGAGCTAGTGGGGCAGTGGTTACATTCTTGCGAGGTCAAAAAATCTACATTTTACATTAAAAAAGGGGTGAAGGGAGGCCCAACTATATAGAGGTCCCTGGGTAGGTGGAAGAATGTCGTCTTCTGTCCTGTCTCCAGTTCTGTTTAAACTTAAAATTCATTGTTAGTGTGGAATGAATAGGCGTTAGTTTTAGGTGCTAGACACAGTTACAATTCGCACGTCCTTGCAAATGGGAGGTCAGCAAGAAATTTTCTTAATGACTGATCTGTGGGGCCAGCTCTTCATAAGTGCCTGAGGCTGTTACCTTTTCTCTAGCTTAAGGGCTCAAGGGTGGGGGAGTGGCCGGGAGACTTCCATTGTCTTTTTTATTTTGAGACAGAGTCTTGCTGTGTTGTTGCCAGGGCTAGAGTGCCATGGCGTCAGCCTAGCTTACAGCAACCTCAAATTCCTGGGCTCAAGCGATCCTCCTCCTCCTACCTCGCCTCAATGAACTGACTACAGGCATGGCCCACCATGCCAGCATTTTTTCATAGATTCTTTAATGGCCCAGAACTTTCTTTCTTTCTTCTTCTTTTCCTTAAGAGCTCTCTCCCATCTGCCTTTCTTTTGTCGTATCTAAATTGAACTGCTGGGATACCCTTGTGGATAACTGAGTAAGAGAGTTATGCAAAAATAACCGAGTTAACAGAGGATACTTGTCTATTACTAAGAGGCACTTGGCTTTCAAAACGACTTTGAATATTTGCAAACCCAAAATCTCAGTGTTCAGAGCCTGGACCTCCGAGACCACTTGTTTTTTTCCTACTGGTGGAATTGCAGGGTGGCTAGGCCAAGCCTCAGAAGGGCCCCCCTGCTTGGCACTTGAGGGGAGTGGTTTGCCGGACTCCCTTGGAGGTGTGCAAAGAGCAATTGAACTTTGGATCCAGACCTGCAAAGGTTGGGATCCTCATCACCATGCTCACCTGGTTATTGTTATGCCTCAGGCAAGTCACTGGCTTCTTGGACCTCGTATTTCACTCAACGAAAGGGGCATGAATACCTTGTCGAACCCAGATTAAAAGACTGAGGCAAAAATCCAATCACATGGGAAGGTTTATATAGCCAAGATTTTGAGACAACGTTCCAGGAAAAACACAACTGCAGAAGAGCCACGGCTGAATTTTCAAAGGGGAAGTTGGAATCATTGGCAATTTTAAAGGCAATATGGAAAGGAGAGAGGAAAAAGGCGGGAGAAGGGGGAGGAGCGCAAGGAAGGAGCTAGTGGGCAGTGTACATTCTTGCGAGGATCAATCAATCTAAGGTTTTTTTACATTAAAAAAGGGTGAAGGGGAGGCCCAACTATATAGAGGGTCCCCTGGGTAGGTGGAAGAAGGTGTCGTCTTACTGTCCTTGTCTCAGTTCTGTTTAGAAACTTAAAGAACTTATTGTTAGTGTCGGAATGGAATAGGCGTTAGTTTTAGAAGTGCTAGACACAGTATACAATTCGCACGGTCCTTGAAAATGGAGGGTCAGCAAGAACTTTTCTTATGACTGATCTGTGGGGACCGCTCTTCATAAAACGTGCCTGAGGCTGTTACCTTTCTTAGCTTATAGGCTCGAAGGGTGGGGGACGTGGCCGGGGAGACGTTCCATTGTCTTTTTTTTTTTCTGGAGACGATCTTGCTGTGTTGT